TTCTACAATTTAAATGAATTGAATGTAGAAATTTGCTTTTACTTGGCTACAAAATTCTATTGATTTCTTTTTGTGTGCCAAGCAAATGCTCAACTGTTGTCTAATTACTGTGCAAACCCACGAATATTACGTAGCCGACACGGCTGACACTGAATTTCGCATTAAGGTCGCGCAAAAGCTGCGGCTCTTTTGTCCTGCGGCGGGATTAGCTAAAGCAAAGAGAAGAAGCCTTGTGCGGGCTTTATATACAACATTTTATACAGAAATGGTACATCATATAAAGTATAGCCAAATTAAGTATACGACGTGGGTCACGTGCAAAGGTGCAAAATCATTTGAATACTAAGTGTAAAAGTGAAATATTTAAAGGAAACTTTTCCTTTATCATAAATTCTATGTGCATGAACTTAATAACAACAATGCAAAAGATCAAGAAATATTTAGACAATAATAATAACAATAAACTACATATATATTAATTATAAAGAAAGACTAAACGGGATACGTTAATTAAAATTCGCCATTTCGTAATATTTATATAAAATATAACAATATTGATTTCAAATGGAATAATCTGCACAAAGTGATTAATATTAATATTTAATATTTACTAAAAAACAGAAAAAATATCAATCGGCTATATAATTGCATGCATTGCAATTGCACTTTGAATTGTGAGAACGATTTTAAATAAATTCGGTCTTCCGTTTATTTAATGCACAATATTTATGCATTTTATATATTAAATCATAAAAAAAATTTTAAATAAATATTCATAAAAAAGTTGTAATAATAAAGAATAACATAATCAAATTAAAATATGCTCAAATTTAAGTAAAATATAAAAATTAAAAAATTAATAGAATTTTTAAAAGCATTACAAATATTTCAGATAACTTAAGAGCCCAACCCCCTTTTTTCAGCTATTAATTGGCTTAATTCAACAGCTAAGCATATGTATCTATATGTAGGTACAAGTATCAGCTATATATATATATCTATATAGTTAAGTAATATTTACAAATCACATGCCAAACATTTACACAGAATGCTTTGTGTAAATTGCGGCAAAACACACGATAAATTGTGTCAACGCATTAAATGCTAACCTGCCGAATCATTCAACAAGACTAACACATGGGCATAGCCGCAGCCACAATCATCCACCCACACACACACACTGACACACATACACACGCCACTCAAGCACACACACATTGGTTTGGTAGTACACGCCCACAAGGTCAAGGGCCGTCTGCCTCTGCCTAGGTCATGTACGAGTACAACTTAAATGCAACCCTCACGAATATTCAAATTTACTTCTTGCGCGCTGGTTGTGCTTTCTTTTTGGATACCCTGTAAAAAGGGGAGCAAAGAGATATGCTCAAAGGAGGCAGCGATGTGCTTCCGTATAAGGCATATTTAAATATAAATTCCTGATTAGGTTTATCGCTCAGCTTATCTTAAAGATTACACTTGTGCAACCAATAAAGTCCTTAAACATAAAGACCCCATTTCCGCTTGTCCCCAATCACAATTTCATTCAATCACTTATTAAACGTAAAAGTTCAGTCAGAAGCTGCAATAAATTTTTATTTGTTTTCGTACAGGGTAGCTTTCGGCCCACTCTGCCATCTTAGCCTACTTAAGCAGCTAGCAAATGAGATCCGCACACATATAGAAATATATATATATATATATATATATATATATATACTACTTATGTATGTGTCGGTTATATATGATTTCGCTGTTTATTTTTGGCGCTGGCACGAAATGAAATTGAGGAACGAGCGAAATTTAATTTTTATGGTTATTATCACTCATTCTTGAGAGTTTTCTATTTGGTCGCTTGATTGTTTCATTGTTGTTTGTTTTGATTGCTTGGCTGTGCGTGTGTGCGCGTGTGTGTGTGCGAGTGTGTGTGTGACTTAACGATGAGCACTATTGTTGTAACTTTTGTCGTAAATATATTTAATTATAGCCAACATCGTTGGCCAAGCGCAATTTTCATCGCACCAGGCACTTGACAATGGAATGCTGTAAAAACTTTATGACCCATTGCTTATTAGATCGTTGGGGTTCTGCGGGGTTGTGTTTTGTATATGTGTGCGTGTGTGTGTGTGTGTGTGTGTGCGTGTGTATGGACAGTTTAAGTGTGTGCTGACAAGCAGCATTTAGCTGTTGATTTTGCATGTGCAATCTCATAATATCACTCATACGCAATTTATGAGCCATTCCCAGCACAAGATATCTTCCAAATACTTTAAGCTATTAATACTCGGTAATCTTATAATGATGAGCTCTATTAAACTGAGTTGTTTTGAGGGCCTCAAGCTTTTGTTAGTTGCGTGTGTCGTAAAAGCTAGAAGTATTTAATAAGATAAGGCATTAAGCATTTCACTATGGTGTTATGGTGGAAGCTAACGGTAAGGCGTCATATGTTACTTTCTTCGATTCCACATCAGGCTAAAATCTGTGAGTTTGAAATGAAAATGTGTGGCAATAAAGGGGAAGCATAGTTTATTTGAAAATCATACTTAAGCTTGGTTGTTCTGTTTGTAGGGTATAAAAAAGATCATGATATGTGTTCGATTATGTTAGATTATAATGGTTAACATTTTTATAATTTTGTCATAGAAATGTGTTACGCATAGAAAGAGACATTTTTGACCCTATGGGGTATATATATTCTAGATCAGCTTCAACATCCTCTTCTGTCTGTTTCTATGCGAACTTTGCATAGGTCGGTCTTTATTTTGCAGGCAGTACATACATATGTGGGAACTAGCATATAAGTTCTTGTATGGAAAACTTCTTTGTTAATCAAGATTTCTTGGAAAAACCCGGCTACGCTACTTACTGCTGTATTATATAGTCGAATGGGAAGATTTTGTGTGGCAAAACGCTTTGTTTAAAGTCTGAAGTTAAACTAAATTATGTTAAAATACATTGGGTGAAGTTAGAACATGTCAGATTATGTTGGATTAGACTTAATTGGGAAGATGGACCATACTTGAGAGATGGCTGGCATGAAAGTTTGAAGGCTTAATTTGCTTGTTTGTTAAAATCTAAATAAAAATGTGAAATAAATTTGCCCAGAAGCATTATTACCTTCTGATTTTCCCATGCCTGTGAGCATATAAAAATTATCAACCGGAAACTGTTTTCTTAATATTGGCAAATTTTCTCTTTCAATATTAAACTTTTTGTGAAACTTCCTCTTAATTTCCGTTTCCCTATAACTTTTACGTTGGCTTTCATGAGTTTGCTTTCTTATATACTTACCATTAATCCATTTTGATGGTTGCGCTTTAATGCCCAACAGCCAAAACGATTGTTATAAATGACTTTTCAAGAACTTTTCAATTTGCTCGGCTCAGCGATTTTGGCTGCTGCGATTCCGATGCTGTTGTTGAAATTTATCGCTCAATGGCAATCAATAAGTGGCAGTAGAACTAATTGCGTCGTGTCTTGAACTAATTAAACTCACACTGATATACAAATCTCTCTCGTGCCTTCTCTTTCTCTTCCTCTGTCTGACTGTCTCTCTTGTGGGCTAAACCCCTTTTTGGCAGCAGCTAATTGCTGGCCCTTTACAGCTTGACTTTCCGTTTTGGCTGTTCGCGTGCCCAAAGAAAAATATAAGCTACGGCTACTATCTGCAGTTAGTCGACTTTTATATACCCCACAAACTGTTTTCAACATATCGTTAACTCATTGAATGAAACTTATCTAAAAAGAATGTCCTTGATTTCAGAGCTTGAATAGATCTCAGTTCTCTGTAATATTTAATATCTCTGCCATATATATATCTACATGTTACATAAACATGCATATGCACAATATATCCACTGTGCAATCAGTAACAGGGTATATTTGAGCTACTTACACACAAGAAACTTAAGGCTCATGCTCCCGTTTCCTTCGTAAGTGTGTTGAGTAATTTTCAAATGTTTAGCAGCGGAAATGGGTTATTTCCGCAGCTGCTGCCACAAAAAAAAAAAACAACAACAAACTATAGTACACGCACACACACACTCATGTGTGTGTGTTTATGTTGCAAGTTAAGCGCTTTTGACTTTTTGATTGGCTTTTTGTTCCAAGAGAAAAACGGAAAATTGCTGCCAAATTTGCGACAAGCTGAGCATTAGGGAAGTCAATTATAAAACGTTATACATATTGATAGACTAACAGATACTTGGCAATTTTTCATCAGTTTTATATGTTTCCATTAAAGAATTTGAATACAGTAATATCCTTGACTTATTTTGAATATTGTTAGCCCTTTATCTGCCAGCCTAAAATGAAGGAGATTAACGACAGGAACTGAAGGGTGTTTAGATAGTTCGCCTCGTAGGTTGGTCGCAGGCGTGAACCCTTTTGGGTGCCTCTCTGTGATGGAATCAGCCAAGATCCTGGCAATCGCTAGGTCCAGATGGGCGTCAGCATCGTTTTTATAAGCAGCTCCTTGGATGAACTTTGCAGCTTGCTTTGCTATTACATGTTTTTTCTATAATGAACTTTTAAAGATATGTTAAAGATACATATTCTATTCTTAAAGCAGATTAAAATATCTTACTCCAATTAAAAATGCCTCAAAAACCAGCTGTAAATATTACAAATTCTCTTAGAACTAAATGAAATTGAAAGGTGCGTTTACCACTGCCGTGGCTATGTTTTGGATGACTAATTAAATCTTTGCTAGCAATTAATTTATAAAAACCAAATGCCAACAAAATGCTGAGCAAATACGCACGCAGCTAAAAATAGACCCAAGAAAATGACAAAAAAAAAATAAATAAATTCAGAAAATTCGCTGAAGCGCAGTGCGCAAAAAGCATTTGACACAAATTTGCTTCGAACCGGTGAAAAGTTGTCTCTACCTGTTGCAAGGGAACTTCTCTGTTTTTTTTTGTTTTCTCTTCTTTTTACTTAAACGTGTTACTACAAGTTTCAATTAAGCTTAAAATTGAAGCACTTCATTATGTTGGGCAGGTCAAAAGCAAATAAATTAAATTGTCTGACCTCAAAGCGGGCAAATGAATTTAACTCAATAACAAAGTAAATAAAAAAGCAAACAAAACAAACTGAAAACCCAAGCAAACGCACACATTCACCGAGACTAAAGTAAATACAAATAAGCTGGATGGTAACCACACACTCACACACACACACACGTATACCCTGCAATTCGTATACACGGCCAGGCTCAAAAGGCAACATAACGAATATACACGAAATTAATCAAGTGTGCGGACAACGGCAGCGACAGCAGCACCTGCACCTGCATCGAACCACCATCAGCAGCCCATTCAATAGCACCAATCAGCCACACAGGACACTCATAGACATCATTGTATAACTGCAACAACAACAACAACAACAACAACAACATGAATTTAATGTTTCGCAAGAATTTTCGCGAGGGTGCCAGCAAATCCGGCGGCGGCGGCGGCAAGCTTCAGTCGAAGGCAAATCGCACGAAACGTTCGCGGGATATGGGCCTGGTGCAGCAGCCGGAGGAAATACATTATCGCACCCATCTGTTTTTCTCGCCCAATCGACCCGGCTATGATGTGGGCGAAGGTAAATTTTCGCCAAGCAATTCAATAGCTACATGAATACCATTGCACACTCTCTTTCTTTCTCTCTCTCTATAACTGTCTGTCTCTGTCGCTCTATCTTTCTCTCTCTCTCTCCATATATGTCTATCTCTTTCTTACTCTGTCTTTCCATCTCTGTTGCGCTTTTGTGTTCTGCTTTAGCCCTCGGCTCAGTTATTTGCGCTCCATTAACCCATTAACTCGCCCCCAATTCATTTTTACATTTCATTCCCATTCACATTCAAATGTTTGCATCAATTTTCCAAATAGAGACAGCGAAAAGGATTCGCCAGCTGCCGATTGTTATTCAGGCGCGGTTAAGCGCTCATGGCAGATAATCGTTGAACATATTCAATTAGCCAGCAGCATATGCGGCGTATACGTAATATGTGCGCATATCACGCATACGCAGCATGCGCCACAACATTATTGCATTTAGACAATCAGCTGCGTGTTCCTGTTCGTTATCGGAATTCAGAGAGCTAATCGATTTATAAAAAGGTTTATTTTTATGTATGCATTAGAATATATAGGCATTATTTTATTCTCTGTTTTAGTCAACATTAAAATTCATTTTTATGAGAAAATGCTTTCTCAAATACAACGTTGAGTCAAACAAATTTGAAATTAAATTTATCATGAACGACAACTGAACATCTTAATGTTAATATAATATATAAAAATATATATATATGAATATATAGAAATGTCAAGGAAATTTAATACATACTTATGTCATGCTATAGATTTACAGCCCATAAGAAGTAACAATTAACTACTTTATGGTTAGTTTAAATACATACTTATGTCATGCTATAGATTTACAGCCCATAAGAAGTAACGATAAACTACTCTATGGTTAGTTCCAGGCTGATATTGTCTTGTATCAGTCCCATTGTATCTGTCAAACACTTCATTTTCCTACACATCACAGGCTAATGCAATTTTCTTCACATTTGCCAATGAAAATTAGCTGGCTTTCTTAGGCGCGCATGCAGGAAACGTTGCAATAAATAACAACGATGCGTATTACTCTCACTTTATGCTCTACATAAATATTTTAGTTGGCCAGACTTAAGCTCAAGCGTTATCGAAATGCTCACATGTTCCGCTTATCTACGAATTTCCAGTTGGCTTGGCTTTTAGGGCAAGAGAAGTATATGTAAGCTGCGATTCTTCTTCTGTTTTTTTTTTCTTTTTTTTGGCAATGGTAATGTCCTTGAATGTTTAAAGAGCACAGATTATTTCATTTATATTGAAAAGGTCAAGCGAATGGAATTGTGCACTTAAATAGCGTATGTATATAATATCTATATATCCAGCTAACAATTAATTGCAACAATGCGTCGCCTACTAATACCAAAAAACATGAGTTGAATATGTCTAGTTTTGTGTAAATAAAAATATCCGTAATATGTGCCTAACTGCAACAACAGAAAACAAAGAAAACTGAAAATCAAACTCTCATCGAGCACTATATCCCAACAAGCCTTTTCCCCAAATCCTGACAAGAATTCAATTTTCTAAATGCTCTCTCTCTATTATGATTTTTTTTGTTTTTTTTTTTTGTTTTTGTGTTGTGTGTCCATATAAAATATCAACAGCATCCATTGCAGAACGATGTAGCGCACTATCGGGCATACCCAGTACCCCGACCACGTCCACGTCCTTTACACAGCCATCCAATCCCTATGAAGTGGACCTGCCGCAGCCGCTGGTCGATCGGTCCGTCTCGTTGATGCGTTGGAACGGCAGCAGCCCTGGCGGCGGCAACAGCACAAATAACAGTCTCATCAGGCTGCAGCAACAGTTGCAGCCGCAACAACAACAGCAGCAGCAGCAGCTACAACAGCAGCAACAACAACATGCCGGCTACTCGTATCAACAACAGCAACTGCCACAGACGCTGAGTGCGACGAGCACGCTGCTAACAGCTGCCGCAGCGGCGACGCGGCAAGGTTTGAGCCAACGACTTGTGAAACTTGTTGTTGTGGTTGCTGCCACTACTACATCCAAAGCGAATGCATATATATACACTGCAAGAAAATATCAAACTAATCACAATAAAAGCTCACAACCAGCATCTGTTGTGCCTACGTATGTTGCATTCACTCCCTAAACGCACACACACAAACACAATAATATACACACGTTTTCCTTAACCAAACAAAAAAAAAAAAAACAAAACAAAACGAAGCCTATTTTAGTGTACTTTAATTTGTACACTTCCTCGTGTTCTTTCTCATCTTGTTGTTGTTAGTGCAAGTTCTTTGTTGTGTTGATTGAATACTGAAAGCTAGACATGTTTTGTACACGCTTGAAAGCTATTGCGCTCTATTGCCTTTAATTTAATATTTGACATTCAGCAAAAGTTTTGAAAATGTTAAGTTTTCAGTATTTCTAGCCAACTTGCTAACGGAAGCACAGCAGAAGCTTTAATAACCTAACAAAAGCTCGGCAAAGCTTTTTAGTTGTGGCAACTTGTACTGGCAAGTCTTCTGCTTAAAGCTTTAAGCTCGCTGGCACTTTAAGCTAAAGGATCTGCAGCAAAAGCTTTTTGTGTTGCTTTTAAATGCGATCGACAAAAGCTCAAAACAGCTAGACACATTTGTAAGCTTTTCCTAATGGTACCTATCGTAACATTGTTGTGTATATTTAACTATCTTCACTTTTCAAACTTTCGATAAGCTAACGTTACCATCACTTTTCAATTTTCAGGCAACTTTGGTGGGGGTGGTGGCAACGCGGGAACGACACGTGCGGAGCCCATCTCTTTGGCTACCTTGGATCGCGACTGTTTCATTATTCCGGTGCACAGTGTTGATCGCTTTCTGCCAGCCGGCATACCGGTAAAAAGCTCTATTTAATTCTTTAGTCAGGAGCTTAAAGCTTATTCGCATTACTTTAGTTACCTGCTCTGAGCGCCGATGGCAAGGCCAGCAGCCCGCTCAGCGTTTTGGAGGTCTCCGATCCCAAGTTGTGCATACTTGTGCATCTCATGAGTCCACTTGAGGCCATAGATCCAGTTATGGAATCGCCGCTCTCCCATCCGCTGCTCAAGCAACGCGCCATTGCCTCGGAGCTCTTAACGGAGGTGCAGCAGGCGAACACAGCCGTCGGCGGCATGATACTAGCCAATATGGAGAAAAGCTGTAAGTGTATGAGAAATTGGAAAAAAAAACAAATTTAATAAATATTCGAGAGCTAGCGTTCCTTTCGCTAACAATTAAAATTCTCTGCAATTTTATCATGCTTTCACTTTCGTCATTTTACTTTAGCTGAATTTCCTTTTATTTCGTATTATCTGATCAACACGATGCAAACGGATCCATCGAATTTCTATTCCAACCTGCGTGTCTCATCGCTCTCCAAATTCGAGCCAAAAGCACTCAAGTAAGATAATCAACAGCAATCAGCACATTTTTTATGCGAATTTGTGCTGTTCTAATACCCTGTAATTTATATTTTTGAAAGAGATGTTAGACTTAGTCTTAGATATTCTGTGTGGACTCAAATTCTACATAACATATTCTAACAGTCTCTGTTTTTTAATTTGTACTTATTGTCTTTTTTAAGAATGAGGTAACCATCTATACCTATCAATTTAATCAAGCCTAATATCATGATTTCGATGAGTTAACAGACACCTAAACATTCACAAAAGCAGAAGTTTAGGGTATATATTAGTCAATCATGTTGTAGAAACACAAGCTTATTATCTCTCTTGAAGTTTCACTTTATTAAGGGAAGCTTTAAGTCTTTAAGATAAATGAATGTTACAGGGTATTTTAAATTCCATCAGCAAACTTGCTTCGCTTTGCCATTGAACTAAGTTGTTAACATCCCCTTCAGATACACTGCCGCCCACACGCTAGACCTGTACAGCGAGGTGGCTGCCATTTGCCGACCCCCGCTGGTGCTGCCCTCCAACGAAGCCGGCAGCTTCAAGAAGTCCCAGACAGCGGCTACAGGCTACATAATCAGCGTGTTCAAGGCAAGTGCAAGCTCTGGCCAAGATTAGCCTGGACCATCTGATATTTAAATGTAAAATGTAAAATGCAAAATTTAATTTCAGGTTTTCGAGGGTGACGACGGCGAGCGCTTCGAAAAGAATTGGCTATATTGGACGGGCGCGCGGATGCTCTATAGGCAAGCAGCGTTTATTCTATCTCTATCTCTATCTATATCTATATCTATATCTATATCTATATCTATATCTATATCTATATCTATATCTATATCTATATCTATATCTATATCTATATCTATATCTATATCTATATCTATATCTATATCTATATCTATATCTATATCTATATCTATATCTATATCTATATCTATATCTATATCTATATCTATATCTATATCTATATCTATATCTATATCTATATCTATATCTATATCTATATCTATATCTATATCTATATCTATATCTATATCTATATCTATATCTATATCTATATCTATATCTATATCTATATCTATATCTATATCTATATCTATATCTATATCTATATCTATATCTATATCTATATCTATATCTATATCTATATCTATATCTATATCTATATCTATATCTATATCTATATCTATATCTATATCTATATCTATATCTATATCTAAATCTACATCTATATCTATATTCACAGATACTTACCACGCGCTGCGGGCCTCCGTCGCATAGCCCTGCATAAGAGCACCTCACAGAAGGGGGACAAAATGTATCTGTTGGTCTGTGAGTGTGCAGAGCTTTTGAAGGATATATCGTTGGCTGCCTTTTTGATACCGGCACTGCGTGCCCGTCTGTGTGGCTATACAGGACTCTATCGACCAATACAGACTTTCTAGAGCAAATACTACTATTTTTCTATGCTGTAAATAGAGATGTTTAGAAAAGTGAAAACTAAAAGGCAATTGTTAAGTGATTCAAATTTTAACTAAATATGAACGGGATATATGAACCCGAGACAAGCAACTTTTAAATTCTAATAGGCACACACACACACCCAAACAAACACACACACGTACAGGCAATATCATTAGCAAGTAGACAATATACTCAAGGTAACTCATATCGTATATCTGTTAACTTTTCTATATATATAGACGCAACACAAATAGGACCATATCTAGTGTGAACAAAACGTTAAATACAACTTCCATTTTTTAGCCAGTGCATATAGATTTTCGATTCTAATTAAGTATACTATATAAATATATATGTATAGCCAAGTTACGCTGAATTTTAATTATAACTGAAAAAATCTTTGCGCTGAAATGTAGGCTATGAAATTACAAGTCAATTCTTAATTCATTAGTGTTGATTAGTTTGTATACCGATAGATATATATACATATATACAATTATATATTACGCTCTTATATATAGTATATCGAAATCACATTTTAATGGGTTTCACCAACTAATCAAAAAGTGCTACATGAAAATGTGAAAACATTGCCCAAATCTAACAAAAATCTGCCAACAAAATGATGAAAATAAATACAAAAATAAATAAAAACAAAACCAAAAAAATTTTCAAGACGAATAAGACAAACAGCTCAAAAGATATTTCAAAGCAAGCCAAATAAGAACTTTTTAAAATAATCATTTTATTCGACAATTTAAATAAATTGCTTAGCTGCAGCTGAACATAAAATATAATATTAATAATAATAATTATAATAAAATAAAAAACAATAAGTAGCTTAGTTCTTATGCATAAGTTAGGAGCTGTAAATACTTGAGTTTGAAACTTATTCAATTCTGTTTGGCATATATCTAATTTTGCACAATAATAACAAAAAGAATATAAAAATCAAAAAGTGCTGTGATAATTAATCAGAAATTTATTGTAATTAAATGAATTCGAGTGCATTCGAATTACAGCAGATGCATAAATAATAATAACAATTCTCTGTATGTCTTTTATTGTTTGTTACTAAGAAATTTTTGTTAAGGAACTTCAGTTTTTATTTTAAATATCATTTAAATTAATTATCGATTTCTCGTTAGCCTTTACTACTTTCCGAACTAATCGCTTTATGCTTGAAGAAGCTTGGCAAAGTGCCTAACAAAAAATAATTTATCCGTAAACATGCTTGCTTTTCACATTTGCCTACAATTTTTAAATCTAACTGCACTATATCAAATGCTATAGATGCTATATTTAAAATTTTTTCTCGTCAAGCATAACTTAAGAATTTAATCAAAAAGTCTCTCAAACATTTTCACGGAACCTTGCTAAATTAAAAAGGAAATATAAATCATTAATTTAACAAACATTTTTTCTTTCTAAAAACTAACAAATTATTTGCTATTTGTTCAAACGTTACAAAAAGCAATTTAAAAGTATTTCTTATAAAAAAAAATGGGACTTTAAAATAATTATATATTTATGCTATAAAAAATAACCTTACTTAGAATTAATTTTGTAAGAATTTTTCTTTCCGCCTGTCCAAACCCAACATAACCAAAAGGAAAATAATATTAGAAATTTGGTTTTTTGTTTTATTTAAACCAACTTTATTTTCTATGAATATTTACAAAACTTACTGCAAAACCAATTTGCAAGCTTTGTATAAATTTACTTTTTTTATAATTTTGTGTACATTTAAATAAATGTATTTTATTTGATTATATTATAATTTAGTTTTGTACTTAGCTTTACTAAGATAAAATAGTTGAAAATTGCTGCTAAAATGCTAAAGCCTATTATTAACATAATTAAACAATTGCAAAACAGAAATCTGCAAAAAATGTTAGTTTTTAAATTCTTTTCATACCTAAAAAGCTAAAAACGCTCTAAACAAACGAAAATCATTTAAATTTGTGCGGTTTGTTTTTTCGGTCATTTCAAGAAATAAAGCGTACAAAAGTATTTTCAAAATGCTGAGAAATTAGTTTTTGAAATAAATTGAAATACTGACGAGCTCTACAACTAACCAAAGATGTTGTCAAAAAAGAAGCCGCCGCGTTGCAGCTTAGACTCCACCACGCGCTGGCGATGCATCAGGTAAGCCTGCAGCTGCTGCGGTTGACGTGGACCCCAATCCGCCGTGGGCTGCAGGGCAAGTTGGAGTTTCTGCGGGCAGGCAAAGCTTAATGCAAAATACAAGCAACTTAATCTGTAAGACTTACGCTGCGAAAGCTCTGGCCGGGCTGTTGGTAAATCATGTAGAGCGCCCAGAAGGGCAGCTGCGCCACGCCCAGGCCCCAGATTAGCCAGCCAGTCATATAGGCTGCCTGTGGATAGGCGACGCCTTTGTATGTGAGCGGCTCATAGCTGACCAGCATATAGATTAGCACGAGGAACATCAAACCGGGCGCCACAATGGCCCAGCAGATGCGCCAATAGAAACTGGTCTTCACATTCAGCATAAACTCTATGTCGCTGCACAGGCGCTTTACGCCGTAAATCCAGGACACAGCCAGCAGCTCAACAATGGCCAGCACCAGGGCAATGAATGTGCAACCATAGAAATCCACCAGATTCAGTATAAACTGCCCGCCAGGCGTCATGTAGACCAGGCCGCACACAAAACCAATCACTGAGGCGCCAATGGCCAGCTGCCAGTGTGGCAGTTGGGGAAAGCGATCCTTGACCACATTGATCACACAGGTGGCCATGCCTATATTACTGCCAATGCCCAGCACCAGCAGCATGAAGAAGAAGAGCACGGCAAACAGTTGCGGCAAATACTTAAACTTGGCTATAGCCTCCGGATACGAGATAAAGGCCAAGCCAGCGCCGCCCTTGACCACCTGCGATATGTCCGTGGTGTTTGTCTCGTGCGCCAAATTGCCCAGAATACCAAAGATGATGCAGCCGGCCAAAATGGAGGTAAACGAATCTATAGTTGTGATAATGATGACGTCTCTGTGTTGAAGAGTTACGGAAAAGGGGGGAGTAAAGCTTTAGTATGTATTATTATTTATTAACTTCCGTTTCTTTTGTACAGCTCGGACAAAAATTTAATTTTTGGCCATACACTGGAATACACATTTAACTGGAATAACCATTTTCCACCCAGAGAGATGGATTTTCCGATAAAGGTGAAACACGTCTCCCATTAAATTTAACTTGGAAAATCCTTTTTTTAAGTCCAACGGATGCAATATGATTAAATATATCTTGTTATAAATTTCCACCTATTTTTTACCAATAATTTAACTAAACCCCGTCTTAATAAAAATTTGGTAGCCAAGCTCTTACGGCTGGAGCTTTAAGTTAGTCATCAATCAGTCATTCAATCAATCAGTCTGTCAGAAAAATTGTATATATATTATTATAGCTAGTACTTACTTGTGCACACGCTTATTGAACTCATTAAAGGAGGCATACATGATCAGTGTGCCAAAGCAAATGGCCAGGGAGAAGAACATCTGCGTTATGGCCGCATACCAGACATGCGGATTGAGCAGCTGCCTCCACTGTGGCTGTATGAAATAGGCAATGCCCTGCCAGGCGCCCGGCAAGGTTACCGCTCTGATCAGCAGGATCAGCATGATGGCATAGGGAAAGAGTGCCAAGAAGTAGGATGCTTTGCCCGAGCTGCGTATACCCTTGAACAAGGTGAGGGCAATGATGATCCAGGTGACCAGCAAGCAGATGACCATCTCCCAGCTGGGCGTGCCGAGGCCCTCATCCAAGCTTTCTGGCTCACGCAGCACTGTGCGCCTGCAAGTGGATACAAGTAAGTGTTATCTGGTAGCCTTCCGACTAGAAGATAGCCTATATCCAGCTACGCATTCATTATTTTTTAATTCATGAATAGCTCTTGATTTTTCAATTGTTTTAAAATTTAAGGGCTTAAAGATGGTATCAAAACTTGCCTATATAGCAAAAGTCAGGGCCATAGAGTTGTCAACTTTTAAATTTTTATAAGAAGATGGCCAACAAGTTATATATTTGACGCATCTAGGTCGAATAATCTCGGGAGCCAAGGCTAAAAATTGATAATTATCGAATATGAGTTATCGATAAATAATAAACTCTTTAGCTCTTCTAATCCTGGAGATAATGCAAATGAACAGACAGATCCTTATCGTGAATATATATAACTTATATAGGAGATGCTTCAATATACGTTTAAATAATGCTTACGTAAAATATAGCTCCGCTGAGGATATACCGTGGACTGGAGTGCTGCTGTTGTTGCCAGCCGCTCCGGTCGCTACACACTGACTGCCCCACTCTATGAGGCAGTACGTCCAGGGCAGCACATCGGAAAAGGAGACCACCAAATAGCGTATAGTCAGGGCCATGATGCAGGCATAGTACGTGGTAGCCAATGCGGTTGAGTACACCTGACCATAGGCCACACCTGGAAGTTAGAAAAAGTCTAGATAAGAAGTAGATGCAAGTGCTGAGTAAGAATACAAAAAATTGCTAGCAAACATTACCCGGCCTTGCTCGGGTAAAATAATTTTGATTTAAAGTTTGAAAAGTTTGTTAATTAATTAAAGGTTTAAGGCTCACAGGGAGAAAATTGTAGTTTCCTCGGCTGTGTCTTAAATATCAATCAAGCAGTCAATCAACCAGTCAGTCTGTCAATCAGTTTTTTTATAGCCATACATTTATTGTACAATTATATCTATATCAAATTTAGTGTACCTTTAAAAATGGGCGCCATATCAAAAGCGCCAATGCAGCCTCGACTGCAGAACTGTCCAATGATAACCTCCAGATAGTAGATCGGTCGACCCACCAGCAACAGCACCACCAAATAGGGTATAAGAAAGGCACCGCCACCATTTTCCAACGCTATAAAAGGAAAACGCCAAACATTGCCCAAGCCCACACTCAAGGCTATGCAGGAAAACAGAAACTCAACACCCTTGCCCCAAGTGTCCCGCATGGTGGCATGCCCCTCCGTTAGCTGCTCGCGTCCCTCCTCGCTGCTGCTGCTGTCCATGGTCAACTGTGAATCGATTGGGTATATGATTCATCCTGGGGGTCTCAATTCCTTGAGCTATTACTCACCAATTCGCTAGTGTAGACCACGCAATCCTTTTCGTTCGACAACTTTATATTTCCATCTAAACATTTATTAAGTTTGGCGAATTGTGTGTTATCCATATTTGGATTGAAGCGTCAAGCGATGCAAGAAGTGAAGTGCATCTGATAGAATGAATGAGATTTTTATAGGCCACACACGCCTGTAGATTATAATGTAGGGCTTGCGATAACAACAGATAGATGCATTGTTAATATCGTTAGAGATTTAGTTAAAGATGATAAGCCTGCAGTTATGACTAGCACTGATTGTAAAATTGTGAATGATGAATGGTCTCAAATATCTTTTCATAAACAATTGATATGGAAAGCGGAATAACAACACTTTATTCTCTAACTATCTGCAGAGGCTCCACAAGCACACAAGCTCAACTCCCTGGCAAGGCAAGGCTAACGCATCTAACAACCAGGATGAATCTTTGGAAAAGCAAATATCAATTTAATAAGTAATTATGAGTTCAAGAGAATAATAAAACGAGAAAGAAAGGCTATCTTCGGCACGCCGAAGCTCTAATACCTTTGCAGGCCCAACCATTTCATAATACTTATACTGCTTTGCCCGTATCTAAGAAGCTTAGGGAAAATAGTTAATGCCGAGTTTGGGCAAGATATCTTGATAAACAAAATGTTTTTTCATACAACAACTTAATTTTCGATCGATCGTTCCTATGGCAGCTATATGATATAGTGGTCCGATCTTAATAGGATTTTGCATATATATGAGGAGCATAGTAAAACTAATAAATGCCGAGTTTGGTCAAGATATCTTGATAAACAAAATGTTTTTTCATACAACAACTTAATTTTCGATCGATCGTTCCTATGGCAGCTATATGATATAGTGGTCCGATCTTAATAGGATTTTGCATATATATGAGGAGCATAGTAAAACTAATAAATGCCGAGTTTGGGCAAGATATCTTGATAAACAAAATGTTTTTTCATACAACAACTTAATTTTCGATCGATCGTTCCTATGGCAGCTATATGATATAGTGGTCCGATCTTAATAGGATTTTGCATATATATGAGGAGCATAGTAAAACTAATAAATGCCGAGTTTGGTCAAGATATCTTGATAAACAAAATGTTTTTTCATACAACAACTTAATTTTCGACCGATCGTTCCTATGGCAGCTATATGATATAGTGGTCCGATCCAGCTGTTTTTCACATATGTGCTGCGTGCAACAGAAAGATGGAATTCTGCAAAAATTCATTAAGATAGCTTTAAAACTGAGAGACTAGTTCGCATTGAAACAGACAGACGGACAGACGGACATGGCTATATCGACTCGGCTGTTGATGCTGATCAAGAATATATATAATTTATGGGGTCGGAGATGTCTCCTTCTATGCGTTACACATTTCAAGACAAAATTATAATACCCTCTGCAAGGGTATAATGAAGTGATCAAGAATGCTACACTAATAAAAAAAAATCATATAAAAATACACATTTCCAACATTTCAACTTTATTTGCAATGAATTGAACAGATTCTTTCGAGTACCGAAAGGGAAATACGCAGAGTGCTCGTTAGGTACATATTTCAAATATATCCGTTAAACACGGTACCTCTTTCTACTTGTACGGGTCCCGACTATCAATTGCCATCCAACCGATCGGATGGTAAGCAAAAAAGTTTCATACAACCTTTTTCCGAGATTTTTTCACACCTGCACGTGGAATTTCCCGAAGCCCCGACTTAACGTGAACCTACATCATATATGGTAACTTCAGTGAAAATTAGTTATGACGGTTTGCGCTGAGCGCTGACCACCAATCAGTCAGTCAGTCGGTCCCTCAGTCAGTCAATCAGGACAAACAGTCGTATATATAGAGATATAAAATAAGCTCGAAAGCAGACAACATTGATCATTTCGTCACATTGCTGATAGACAAACCGAGAGCAACAGCTTTGTGTTTTGGGCAACAAGCTCTTATCACAAATTGTAATTTTTTCCGAATTTGTTTGTGAAGTTGTGTAGCGATCAGTTCCTAAGGTCTATGGATAATGTTTCACTTGATATAAACAGATATTTTCAAAAACAAACCAGTCTTTAAACAGGATTAGGTTATTTAGGCTATAATTAACTGGATAAGATAATCAACATGCTACGCATAATAAACTGAAGCTTCTTTTATTTAACCCAATTCTAACATTATTCCAACTTTTTATCAAGGGATTTTGTTTAATTAATCTTTGACAAACACAGATAAAAAGACATCCCAAAAGTTTTGGCATCTAAAACACCTTAGATTACTTCTAGTACCTCTTATTTGTACTATGTATGTAGCAGTTCGTCGAGGTGATGATACTCAACAAAGATCACATCTGAAAAGTTTGGTTTTTGTTTACATAAATGTTATATTTTGGAGCGATATTTACAAATTTTGATAGCCTCAGAACTTTTAACAAGCACTTCACTTTTATGAACCTTTAAACTGACGGAATGAACGCAGAATAACCCGATCAGAAATAATAACACATCTATAAGTGTGCCTTTTGTTAATCTTAATTTAATTTAACCCATTGAGTGTGTCACAAAGAAATCAATATAAGCTGAAACACTTCATAAAGGCTAAGTAAATATTTGCGAACCACTTGAATTAAAAGAGAAACACGCGGTCACCCATCTTTAAATAAATGCTCATATGCACGTGTTTTTTATTTTTTGAGCTAGTCAAAATTGGGTTCCACTTCGGTGACGAGTTACTTTCAACCGCCAGAGACGAGCTGCGTTTCGCGACTAAACCGAAACATAGGTGATAAGCCATAAAGAAATCTACACGTAGGCTCGTTAAAGATTATGCTAAGAGTTTTGCATATTTTTCCAGTCAGAATTGTGCATATATATCCAGTTAGATCTAGTTGATTTTCATGCTCGACGCGACCCTGAGCTCAAAATGGAAAATCATTTCAATTTAAAAATTGCGTTTTATGTGCCGCCGACCCATTAAATGTACTTATTTACATACAAAAATATAAAGCCGATCTATTGGTAATTACAAAAACATGAAAATCTAGGTTTACAAAGACAATAATTTAGGGATATATATATATATATATAAATATATATGTATGTTTTATATGTATGTAGGGAAAACTTTTAATAACTAAAGAAAAAGTCTATCGATTGTGGCGCATTAATTGCTGCTAGTCGCTAAATATATATATAATATAATATTATTCTTCTAGTAGAAGTTGCGGTTGTTTATGCTTTTTGTTGCGTTTAGAACGTAGACTTAACACCTCATGAGGTGGCACTGGCTCAAATATGTTTTGCCCATTGTTGCCAATTAGAATTTTGACATATATGTGACTGCAAATAAAAGAGAAGAATATATGATATATTTATATAATATATTGTACTATGATTACTCGTAACAAGTGCCGCTTACCATAATAATACATTGTTAATTTTGTTAATTGTATTGTCTTATTTTGGTTTATTCCAGCAGAATGTCTGCAACTTCCGCATCGCTGACTTCACTGCCTAACATTAGGTTATTTCTGCGATGAGACAGTATTGAAGAACTGTAAATTAAAATGGTTACTCATAATCAAGGCTGCAATCCGGCTCTGAACCGCACAAGCTCGAACCCGGTATTCCATTTAAACTGAATTTAAACCATAACTGAAATGCTTACTGCTTAAAACATGTTAGCATTAAGCATATTTGCCAGAAGGTAATTTAAGCCCAGAAAACGGAAGGAACATATTGTAGGATTCATAAATGTGGTAAACCATGCTCGAACCATTAACAGAAATAAATGAAAATTTTGATTGGGTATCTAGCGTACTTGTTACGAGTTGAGCAGGTTCTTCAAGCTACTCACTACTCTACTTACACGGTACGCCGTAAATGGTCGAGTTCGTCCTTGAGCAGCGCATTCTTTTCGCCCAGTTTTGTGTGTAGTTTGACGCTGCGCGCATTGCTCTCCTCCAGCAGCTTGATGACGTGCTCCTGGCTATGCAATTTGGTTTGCTTGGTACTGAGCGTCGAGCATAGATTCTGGAACTGCTCATTCGTGGATGCCAGCTCGTTCGATATCTGCCGACAGAAAAGCCGTTAAAATTTAGTTATATACATTTATAAATATGCTTGCTATTAACCTGGGTAATGAGCGTATTTTTATCGCTTGTTTGAGACATAATTTCATTAATCTTGCGATTGCTCTCCTGTTCGCGTTGCTTCATCTCCTGATCCAGATAATTAATGCGCTCGCCGCGCACGGCCAGCACTTGCCGATGATGTTCGATCTGTTCCTCGAGTCGCCCAATCTTAAGCTCCGCCTTGCGCAGCGCTTCCTGCTTAAGCTCCAATTCATTGCGCAGCGTTTGCTCCGTCTGCTCCTGTGTTGTCAGACATGCCTGTTGGCGCTTCAGCTCCGACTGCAACTCACTGCGGACTGGGATTAGGAATTTGTACTATAAAATATCTAAAGTTTCACCAACCTTATTTGCGCCGCTTCCTGCCCGTTGCTCATTGTTGACTCCGTTTGCCCCTCCTGCCAATCCTTATGTTGCTCCAGCTCGTGCAGCTGTCGCCTCTGTTCAGCTATTTGCCGATCCTTGTCGGCCACAATTAGTGTCAATTCCTCCGTTTTCTTTTTCAGGAATAAACGATCCGCGTCTGCCTGATAAAGTTGCGCCTGCAAGTCCTCAATGCGCTCCAACTGCGTGTTGATCGTCTGCCTCAAACCATCCATGCCGGCATCGTTCTCCTTCAGACGTTGATTCAATACCTTTGTGCTGTTGGCATTACTTGATGATAAATAAGATTTTAACCGATTTTTCATCAAAACTTTTCACATGGCTTACACTTTCTTCATTTGCTTCAAATCGCTGCGCAGTTCATCAATGACGCTGGTCTGCTCCACCAGCGAGATATTCTTGTCGGCCAGCTCCAGAGCAAGATCATTGTTGCGCTTTTGCGAAGACTCGAGCATTTTTTTCAGATCCTCTCGATTTTTGCGCACATCAGCAATATCCAAGTCCAGCTTGGCATTAGTACATTTTAGCTGGGTATTTGCTGCGCTTAACTCGCAAACCTGGCG